CCTCACTCGTGTTTTATTTAACTCGAAACAACATATAAATAGAGTTCCCTCTGACTTCCTTTATCCCAGGATATCCCACCTCAACTTCCACCTATTCTCAATGCCAGCTGCAGTTTACATTACCTTCACCACAACAGGCCAACATACATCTCAAATATATCTTAATATTTTTATGGTCAGGATGCAAGTTTTAGATGCAAAATACTCTTTAGATCCAAAATGCACAAAGCTGGTTATCGATTCACTAATGAAGGAAGATAGAACTATAATATTTGAAAACTATGAAGATTAAACGCATAATACAGACTAAAAGAACACAGCAGCTGCAGACAAAGCAGCAGTAAGTGATGAAAAGCACTGCACGGCAGTTTAGTATTAAATGTGTGAGCACTTTAAGCACTTTGGCCAACAAGACTGGAGATGAGCTAGCAAATCGGCTAATAAACTTTAGCCAATTTGAAATCAGGATAGAAAGCAAGTAACTGTACAAGTTGACAGCCTCATCAATATCACAGTACATAATGGTCTAGAAAAGCAAATGTTTGATTAAATTAATGTTTAAAACATAGTTGGAAAAAGAAGACTCATTAAAAAAAATTCTAAAACCTATCCTTTCACAAAGATCCAAGGATCTTCCAGGAATGGTGACACTATTTTCCTGAGATTTGATCAGCCAGTGGTTGGTAATTTCATACTTGTTGGTTTTTAATCTGGAATCTCACCTGTTCCCAGCACAAGTAACCATGACGTTATACATCAGTAGGAAGTAAACCGCCTTCACAGTACAAAAGCCCAGGGTACATGGATAAGCAGAAACCCTGCTCCATCGTACATTGCTCAGGCACCAAGGAGGTATAACGGCAAAGAAATAATGGTTACATTATTAACCATTATTAATAATAATGGTTACAGTATTTCTTACTGAAGAAATACTATTTCTTACTGAAAAGCTACAGTCAACCTTATTGTCAAAAGACTTGACTTTACTCCAAAAGGTGTATCATTACTATGCGAGAAAATAGGCTGTAGGCTCGCTTATCAAATAGGGTCCTAATGTTAAATGGACGCCTGACAAATTGCTCTGAGCCCAATATAAAAGAAACAAAGTAAAAACACACCCTTAAAAATAATGGTGTAACGCATTAAATGGATATGACAGCTATGTTAGCAGTACGGTATATGATGTTTACCTTAACCCATCCTGTTAACATGTGAGCTAACATATCAGTAATCAAATCTGACTACCGTCACTGCCGTTGATCAAAGAGACTATTCATTTTATTCCTGTTTGAATAAGAAGGCACTGCTAATGTTTAACTGAGCTCCAAACTAGAAACATAAAAATTCTAAGTAACTTATCTTCAGCAATAAAAGAGGTTATCGACGATGTTAAAAAATAAACAAAGAACGATCAATTTATTCTGAGATAAACGCTAATGTTGTTAAACACATCTATCAGTAGCGTAGCTAGTCAATTCCGCTAACATTAGCGTTAGCTTGTCAATTTGTCTTGCTAGCACTGACGTTTATATTCAAAGTAGAAATTTTACTTAAAAACAACCTGTAAATGATTCCAAGAAGGGTTTGAAATATATATCTGTAAAACTATTGTTTGGGGTCGACGGGGTTTCAGCACTGCTTGCCATTTGCAATTGGTTGGGGAACTTCAAAAACATCTAGATTAGCCGGAGTTGTTGCCACTGATCAGATTTAAGAAGCTAACAGCGCTTGCTAGCTAAATCCCACAAGCTAATGTTATGCTAGTAAGCTAACTGATGTTGACAAATGCCTTCGTTTGACGGGACAACATAATGTCATTAGCAACAATGGAAAAGGTTGGGTATTTTAGTGACCATAAAGCCATGTCTCGAGTCTAAACAGTTAAATGGTAATTATGATAACGCTTTTGCTACCTAAAATGTTCTCCGTCTGAAATGCATCGAAAGTAGCCGCTAACTAACGTTAGCAGATGCGTTAGTTAGCCATGTCATGATAGGCCGTCCAAGTCATATTTGGCTAACTGTTAGCAGCTCAGAGATAGTCAATTAAAGACGGGGTAAGATCGCAAACTTCAAAAGTGCTGCAGAAAGTTTTGCATCATTAATGTGCATGGTCTGTAAAGGTGACAGCTAATGCCCAGAGAGGCTGACTCTCCGACCTGGACACGGTCCATAATAACCTCACCTCTTTGGGTACGAACTGGTTCTCCTCGCTAGGCACCATTTCCATTTGTGCGACAGTTTAGACAAGCATCTATCCGGACAGGGATGTCAGCGAACAAACTTTGCAGCGGTCAACACAAACATTGTTTGTGGTCGGTTTGTTAGAAGTTTGGATGCTTAAATACCAAAATTAAACTTGCCAAAACTTGTAGGCTTATCAAAGTGAAATCGCAACACTCTCGGTTACACTACCCCCAGCACAAAGTGTCGTGCTATAAATGGAGAAAAATGGCCGGTGTTTTTACTCCGCGAGACTTCACTCAGGGAGCTCTGGCGTCACTTTCCATACAGATAAGCGTGCGTGATGCGGACAGGATGACGTCGGCGAGTGTGCGTGTTTTCGCTTGTTTTCGTTAAAGGGCAGAGATGACAGATATACAGTACAAGCGCACAGTTTGTGTATGAGAGAGATGTGTGAATTTAATTTCTACTATGTAATATATTAATTGTCATGTTATTATCAGATTAAGATAAAAATAGCACAAGATGTGCCTACTTTTATGGTTTAATAAATTCAAAACTTTATTGATATTATTTTCACTCTAAATGTAAATGATGGCGTGGGTTTGACTGTAGGCTCATCTGCGCCACTTGGCTTCTAATAATCCTCCCATGTAGAATCTCAAGCCTGTAGCCTGTTGGGCCTAAACTACTAATATAATGAAAGGATTTCACTATACAATTGTGCATACATATATATAATGACATAGTGGGGCATCAGCGTGGTTAGCAGTGGTTCCTTCACAGCAAGAAGGTCCTTGTTTTTTATCCACCAGGCAGCTATGCATTCTTGTATGAGGTTTGCATGTTCAACCAGCTCTCTCCAGGCACTCCAGATTCCTCCCATAGTCCGAAAACATGAATAGAGTTAAGTTAATTTTTTATTCTAAATTGACCCTTGGGGATAAATAAAGTCTTTCTGATTCTGATTCTGTGATTGTGATTCTGTTCCAGATCTCAACCTGAATAAAACCCCAGACCCAGAGATGAAATTAATAATGAGCAGAATCGACAGAATCGAGTTAAGATTACTGATGTGGCCCAGTCCCGTTTTCTCATGTGGCTCCTTGGAAAAATGAACAGCCAACCCCTTTGCTTTGTTCTTATGTTTCTTGTATTTTGCACACCTCTGTTGCTTGTGAAGCTTGCACACAAGAATTTCATGCACATGTGCTGTACCAGTGTACCAGCGCATGTGATGTGACAATAAAAGTGATTTGATTTGATTTGAGCTTGGTGGAGCTCAATGACAACAAAAATCACAAGGTGCACGCTTAGTATACCTGTCTGGGGATGTATTTGGCATGTATAAATTTATGTTTAGTTGAATTACAACACAGCAGCCCTGCAAAAGACTGGCGAACTGTCTAGGGTATACCCCGCCTTTCACTTTACTAGCAAACTAGATAAGAAACATGCATAGATCAGTAAATATGCTACAAATATATTATGACACACCATTCTAATCTGACATTCCATTCAGTGTTATAAAATATAAATATGATTGTGTAATTTGTATAAAATACAGATGTTGGCACTCATGGTGTCCTCGGCAATGTTTGTGCAAAGTTTCAAGATTGGTCCACTTGTCTAGGAGGAGATAGAGAACACATAATGTATACACTACAGTCATTATAGTATGACGATAGCTGGATAAAAGGTTAGCAAAAGGGATGGATGGGTTGGTACACATCAGTTTTGGCCAGCACTCAGTCTACAGAAAAGGGGTGGAACAGGTGTTTAATGGGGTCCCAGCTGCTCGTTTTTGCCTGGGGCTCTCTTTTAGAAATGTAATAAAGCTGTCTCCATATACCGCAGATGTGAATTCATCATTTTTTAATAGCTTATTGTGGGGAGGGATATAGGTGCTCATTACAGATTGAAGATTTAGCACAAAAAGAGGGAGAGAGACATAAATGTCCCTGCCTTGAACCGTGGTTAGTCGCCATCTCAACCATCTCAGCTGGCTGTGACTGAAGAGCAGATGTGGCGGACAGTGACACAGTAGTTGCTGAACTCTCATCTGTAGATTGTTAAACTGGTGTTTTGTAGTTAGATGACCAAAAATATTTTTCCTATAACCAGACATCTGCACTGCAGTGTGGCAGCAGCAATTCGGAGCAAACAGGGGTAAATATTTGACATTGTCACCTCACGAAGGTTCAAGGTGTGATAACGGCTCTATTCGGTGTCACTGCAATAAAAAATCTGAAATGTTGAGCACAACTGAGCCTGCAACTCCAGTTTTATCACAGCCCTGCTGTGTTGCTCAGGCCTCTTATAGATTGTAGCCAGGAAATGTTTAAACGTTACTCAACATTCAGAACTGCTTGTGCTACTTTTTTTTAAGTCAGTACATTTTATGACTGTTGTGCAACAAGGGTCCCTCAAACATGTTACATTTCCCGATAAAACAAAATGTTATCATTTTGTGGGTTTTGTTGCAGTTTCACACCAATGAATGTGAAACAGTCAAAAATACTTCATGAGAAGTTGAAGTGTGCACCGAGGAACTTTCTCATACTTATGTATGGAGTTGCATTAATGTAAAGTGTAAAATGATGAAATTAATAGACTAAAGCTAATGTAGAAAAGTAATGGTGAAATGAAATCATTTCCAGGAAACAACAGAAGCTTACATTTTTGTTTATTTCAGTGAAATTTCACTCATAATTTTTAATTTCATGATCTGCTCAGTCGATGTCCAAGCCATTGGGAATTGCTTCATGTGAAGATAAAGTTCTTGTATCACAGAGAACTCATATAAAATCCACCTATAGTTACTATTTTGAATATTAGGATTGTTTTAGAACCCAATTAATAACCACAGAGAAAAAAACTTCCTATCATAGACACAAGGGTTTGTACAGTTTTAGTCAAATAAACCTGCATCAGTGATCATCAAATCGTCAACATCCTTTTATTTAATTTCTTCTTTCCACTTCTGGCTTCAGGGAATGACATATTCACAGATGTACTTTTTCAGGCTGCGACACACCTCATCATACCACTTTCCTTGTGCAGCCACTGAAAGAGCAACACAGCTCTCCCTCTTCGTTCCTGTGGGCTGCTTCTTGGAGCGATCCCAGTTAAAGAAGCGGACTGGCTGGCTGTTGACATCGACATACTCGCCTTCTTTCACTATGTCTGCCACACCGATCCAGAAGTCCTTAGACCCGGGAGCACTCCTCTTTGCATAGTCTCTCAGTTCATTGTTTTCCAACATGTCCCGCGGTGTTGCAAGAGTTCCACCTTGTGCAATGCAGTCTTCATTTGCTTCATGGTAATGTTTGGGTTCCTCAATTGTAAGATAACACTTTCTATGAACTTTGATGCCCCGGAGACACACTGAAAACACAAAGCATTTACTTCATGAATTAATGAATGGTAAAGTAACACTATAAACTAGTCCCATCAAATTACATTGCAAGAACTATTCATGTAACCATCATGCAGCTTGCAAGTGAACCTGTTACTTTGCATTTAAAGGCTTCTTGGAGTGTTGCTGCCCTCTGCTGATAAGCTGGCACCATAAGGTTCATTCTACAATTAGGGGTACGCTTCATGTCTGCAGGCTGTATTGATCAATTTCATTAAATATTAATTTCAAGAAATTATCAAGTTTATATTCAGGCACATTTCTCTTTAATTAATACAGAAAAAGTCAACAGTTTTCATAATTTATATAGCAGAAAATTGGTATGCTATATCAGAATTAGCCTTTTGAGTTTGTGTATTAATTTAATTTTTATTTCTTCAAAGTCTCTTCTAACCCATTGATTTTCATTAAATCATTCACTTTGTGTTCAAGAAATCCTTGTTAAAGATTTAAATTCCTTCTGTTGAGGGAATTTGAAATGGTCAACTGTAACTTGACCTCAGTAGCTGATTAAAGAATAATTTGCTCTTCAGCATCCTCAGCAGCCTCTTCTCGGCCACAGAAAATCCAGTGCTGTTCTCAGACTTCAGATTTTGAAATCAAATAGGTGGAAAACCTCCCAAGAGACTCGAGGACTTTCTATGACACTGCTAATATCTGACAAAATATTGAATTTAAACATTAGCACTTAAGCAGCAGTTGATGGATTTTACACACTATAGGAGTATGTTGTGAAAGCGTCTCGATTATTATTTTTTCTTCCTTTTTTAGTTGATATGAAATGTGCGTCAGATTACAGAATCACTCTGACTTTTAAACTCTGGCTATTAAGTTATAAATGCAGCACTGTTCACACTCTTGCTCGTCTTACTTGTCTGTACATTAATATTAATTTATCAGGAATGCAGAAACGCTCTCACTAATACCTGTCTGCAGTGCCTGCATCTCTTTCAGAGAATTGACCTCCTGCCACAACCTCTGGAGCTGTGACATCACATCCTCCTCCTCTGTAGCTGCACAAGGAGGAGACAATTAAGAAAAAAACACACACACACAGGTCAGATAAAGCCATGATTTGATAGGATTTATACAATTACCTCCAGACTGGCGAGGTGAAACAGCCTTCCTGGTGCGAGATGGACCGCTGTTGCAGATGTGGAGCAAGGAGAAGCTGAGGACGAGGAAGACAGGGAGGCCCAGGCGTGCCATGTCTGCGGCCAGCATACAGGACACAGTGGCCCACGTTGTGCTGCTGTGAAAGGAACCAAAAGCTCTGCAGGCTGCTCAATATATACAGGTCCTCTGTATGCCTTTCCCTGTATTGGCTCTAAATGTGTTTGTTTTTGCCCAGACATCAGGAGGAGGTGAGGGAGGTTAAAAAGGGTGGAGGCCAATAATGATTTCCTTGTGTCGAGTTATTTTTAGATAAATATTTACTTGGGACAAGGTGCGCTAAGAAGCATTCACTTTCATTTCACAAACAAACCTGAAATCCATTGACTGCTTCAATACTACAGAGTGTTCTTCCTCTTTTCACATGTTAAGTTTGGACGTAATCAACTTGAGACTTGAAAACTTATACCACCTCTTAAGTGTCAAATGATGCAGCCTGGCAGTGAATTATCATTGTGCTCAGGAAAGGTTTAACCAACCACTTCAATAAATTTAAGCAACTAAATATACCTGGTACATCAATACAGCCTAGCTCTAGGCCTGTTTCAATCACAGGGACAGTTATGCAATATTTGAACATATAAGGCTGCTATTAGAAGTCCAGTTTACAGCTTTAATGCAGGCGAGTTATTTTTAGAGGGAGATGTATACAGATGGGAGTGGGAGCTAAATAAGAAAAAAAAACTATTGGGCATATTTGCTCAATATAGCTATTCAACTGTCAAAACCAGTTCAAGCACATTTTCCTATTTTAGAATCTCAAACTGTTTTTTTAATAATACATCCACCCCCTGAGTGACATATTCTCTGGAATAATGCATTCCAATTATTTATTAAGAAATTTAATACATATAGATGCATATATGTCAACATGATGCGGCGAATGTGTGAGAAACAAACAATCCTACAAAATGAGCTTTTATAGACTTGTTGCTTAGTGGCAGGAATAAAGTTGTGCAAGCACATTAATGTATGATGTTCGAATGCAAGCTACGTAGCAGGTTATTTCTGGTTTGACTAATAATTGCTCATTGCTCAAGACCAAATGTGTGTGAATCTTCAAATAAGGCGGCGTTTGCAGCAGTTTTGCCTAGAGTGCACTCCTGATTCTGACCAAACAAACTGGGGAGAAATCACAGCAAAAGCCAAAATGAAACGGAGTAATGTTCGACCACCATCGTCATTAGACACAAGCACCATTGTCCTCCTCTGAGATCCATATGTTCTTTAGCAACACAACTGTGTTTCAGCTCTCTGTTTAAAGAGAAATCCCTGATGCTGTTGTCATCTTGTGCAACACTGAAGGCTTACAAAGAATCTGATTTACTTGTATGTCATGAGTTTTGTGTTTCAGATTCCTGTTAATATATTTTGATATTATGTTTCAGTTTTTGTTTTGTTTTGGGGTTTTTTTATTCCTTTTTCTATCCTGGTATATCATGAGTATTATTATTTTGAGTGTAGTCCCTGCTTTGATTTCATAGCCATCTCCTCATGGGTTTCCCTGTAAGTCCCTTTCCCCTCTTGTGTACCTTTTTCTTCTCCTCTCGGTCATCTGGTTACTTCCTGTTTTACTTTCAAGGTGTTTTTTTACCTGCAATTTTTCTCCTTTGTGATTCTCAGCCCCACCTTGACTGTCTTCACTTGTCTTGATTAGTTTCAGCTGTGCCCCGATCCCCACCTGTTTCCTGGTAGTGTATAACCCTGTGTTCATCTTTGTTTGCAATGTTCATTCCTTTTTGAATTTCTTCCTTGGTGCATTATTTACTTTCATGGTGTGTTATCCTGCTGTAGACCATCAGATGGGTACACTGTCGACATTAAGAGATGGACACGGCGTGGTGTTTAAATGATGCTCAGTTGCTACCAAGAGGTCGAACATTGTGCTAAGAAAATATCCCCCACACCATTGCACCAGCAGCAGTCTAAACTGTTGACATGAGGAATGCTCTCACGCTGTTTACACCAAATTCTGACCTTACCCTTCAAATGTCACAGCAGAAATCAAGAGTTGTCAGACCAATTCAATAAAATTTTATTTATATAGCACCAAATCACAACAACAGTCGCCTCAAGGCGCTTTATATTGTACAGTAGATCGTACAATAATAGATACAGAGAAAAACCCAACAATCATATGACCCCTATGAGCAAGCACTTTCGGTGACAGTGGGAAGGAAAAACTCCCTTATAACAGGAAGAAACCTCCAGCAGAACCAGGCTCAGGGAGGGGCGGCCATCTGCTGCAACCGGTTGGGGTGGGAGAAGGAAGACAGGATTAAAGACATGCTGTGGAAGAGAGACAGAGGTTAATAACAGATATGATTCAATGCAGAGAGGTCTGTTAATACATAGTGAGTGAGAAAGGTGACTGGAAAGGAAAAACTCAATGAATCATGGGAATCCCCCAGCAGCCTACATCTATTGCAGCATAACTAAGGGTGGATTCAGGGTCATCTGATCCAGCCCTAATTATATGCTTTAGCAAAAAGGAAAGTTTTAAGCCTAATCTTAAAAGTAGAGATAGTGTCTATCTCCTGAATCCAAACTGGAAGCTGGTTCCACAGAAGAGGGGCCTGAAAACTGAAGGCTCTTCCTCCCATTCTACTTTTAAATACTCTAGGAACAACAAGTAGGCCTGCAGTGTGAGAGCGAAGTGCTCTAATAGGGTCCTACAAGGTCATTAAGCTAAGATGGTGCCTGATTATTTAAGACCTTGTTCGTGAGGAGCAGGATTTTGAATTCAATTCTGGATTTAACAGGAAGCCAATGAAGGGAAGCCAAAACAGGAGAAATATGCTCTCTCTTTCTAGGCCCTGTCAGTACTCTTGCTGCAGCATTTTGGATTAACTGAAGGCTTTTCAGCGAGTTTTTTGGACATCCTGATAATAATGAATTGCAGTCGTCCAGCCTGGAAGTAATAAATGCATGAACTAGTTTTTCAGCGTCACTCTGAGACAGGATATTTCTAATTTTAGAAATGTTGCGCAAATGGAAGAAAGCAGTCTTACATATTTGTTTAATATGTGCATTGAAGGACATGTCCTGGTCAAAAATGACTCCAAGGTTCCTCACAGTGTTACTGGAGGCCGAGGTAATGCCATCCAGGGTAAGAATCTGGTTAGATACCATATTTCTAAGATTTTCAGGGACGAGTAAAATAACCTCAGTTTTATCTGAATTAAGAAGCAGAAAGTTAGCGGCCATCCAGGTCGTTATGTCTTTAAGACATTCCTGCAGTTTAACTAAATGTGTGTCTGTTATCTGGCTTCATGGACAGATAGAGCTGGGTGTCATCAGCATAGCAATGAAAATGTATGCTATGTCTTCTAATGATGCTGCCTAAGGGAAGCATGTATAATGTAAACAGAATTGGTCCTAGCACTGAACCCTGTGGAACACCATAATTGACCTTAGTGTGTGAAGACGACTCTCCATTTACACACACAAATTGGAGTCTATAGATATGATACAAACCACTGCAGCACAGTACCTGAAATACCTACAGCGTGCTCTAATTGCTGTAGCTATTTCAGGCCAGGCAACATTTTTCCAATCTCACATTGTCTAATTTTAGTGAGCCTATGTGAACTATATCCTCGTGCTCTTAGCTGACAAGAGTGGCTCCCAGTCTGTTCTTCTGCTGCTGTAGTGCGGCTGCTTTAAGTTTCAATATTGTGGACATTCAGAGATGCTCTTCTTCATACTGGTTGTAATCAGTTATTCACATCTGACATGAACTAGACATTTTCACCCAACAAAGTATTTCTGAAATAGTCAGCCCATCTGTGACCAAAAAGCACGAGTTCAAAGTCACTTAAATCACCATGTTCACCATAATAACCATATCTAGATGCCTACATGAATGGAGTTGCTGCCATGTGATTGGCTGATTAGACATTTGCATTAACGAGCACCTGAACACGAGTCAAAATCGCAAGAAATGCTTTGCAGATAAATTTATTCAAGTAAACAGAGCAGTGCTCAAAGAAAGTACACAACAAAAATGTGACAAAAATATATCACAGGTAAACCATAGTTTGAGGAATTTTGTGAACACACTACAGTGCTGAACAAGTTGTACACATTTCTTTCTTTTGTTTTTTTTAAACGAGGCAATATGAATACACATACAACTGTCTCTCTCACGCACACAGACACTAACAGGGACATTGAAGGCATCGAATTTTAGATTTTCTTCCCCAAATTGTCTAAATAACGCCCTAAATTTCAAGTCTAGGATATAATTTATCTGATCACTTTAGTAAACCCATTGAACATCTTCTCTTCACTGTTTATCACATTCAAAGCATGCAGTGTTTACTCATAACTTTTAAGCTACACATTGACTAGTTTCTACTTTTTTCAATTACAAAACACTGACATCCTGTGTTGTTTTTGTAGATGAGCCTAAAATGATGAAGGATTCAGACAGCTAGCCGATACAAACACACCGAGTAAGCAAGGTAGCGTAATTAGAGAAATTGAAATAGTGTAGCAGATTCTCACAAGTTTCAAAAATAAAATCGTCTGAGTAGGTGGGTGTACTTGCAGAGTAAAGGCAGAGCTTGCCATACTTAACTAAAGCGCTGCACAGTGTTCCTAAATCAGCCTCATACACGAGCTCACTGTAAAAATACGTCGTCAGTTATGGAGTTTTACGGCACTTTTGTTGTGAGGCACCAGCAAGTAAACAACTTTGGTCAGACAGGCAAGCTAGAGACTCTAAATACCTTAAACTGCAGTCTGAGTCCGACTAACTACTTAATGCTCAAGAAAAACCAGGATTTTGACGCAGGTATAAATTGAAATTTGTCCTGTTCTACTCAAGTGTTTACAAATCTGTTCACGGTTTTCTGATCGGAAACAATAAATGTTACAATCGTGGTGTTACACATTATGTAAATTCTGAATATACAGTTCAGTGGGAAAAATAAGTCCAAATCCCTCTTATTAAATGATCCAATGATGTTTTTTTTTTTTAAACAGATTACACTTCATTTTCCACCTAAAAATAACTTTTTGTTTGTTTGTTCAATGTGAACTGCACATAAGGAATACATTTCAAGCATTTTACACTTGTTTGTAGCTCAAAGGCACTAGTGATCCCATAATATAAGGTTGGCACATTAGCATAAAATGTCATGCAAATATCTACACTCAGTCTTTTCTGCCTCTCCTGGCTTACATATTAGTTAACACAACAAAGGGATGCACTCCCTTGATCGGAACAATTAGAACACTGGGGTCACTTTCTCAAACCTATTTCAGCTGTTCGCTTTTAATTCTCACAGCCGAGCACAGAAAAATACTTCTTTTTTCCCCTGTGCTGTGAAATATTTAGAAATGTTTCCTTGTTACTATTTGACACTTAGGCGCTTTACTTAATCTATTTCATGGGGTGCTAATCATAAAACGAGAATAGCAGGTCGGCAGGTTTAAATGCTTATGTGGTTTGCTGTTAATTTAATAAACTGTGGGCAGATGCAGTTAACTATAAAGTGAACACAAACCTATTCATATTATTGGCTAGCAGGTAATTACTTCATAGTACAGCATATAATGTAACACTGTGTTGAAAATGGCTCTTGCACATTGTGGCATCCTATCCTTTGCTTAGACTAATCAATTGACACATAATAGGAAACGGACAAGAGGCACTAAAGTATACTGCACATACATACATTCATGCATACAGCACATGCACACAAACACACACGACTGGGGTTGTGTTGCTCTGGTGAAACTGTGCTGCCTCTCCAGTGTCTCTAGGTGTGCTGCAGTGGGATTTTGTCGGGTCTAATGGATAAAAGGCATTCGCTCCTTGCTGTCGTTGTCTCCCTCGGGCTCCTCTTCTTCCTCTCCTGCTTCACTGGTCTCCGTGCTGTCGCTGGCCATCTACAGATAAAACATTTTTTACTGCCACCATTAACCGTTTAGTGGAAACAGAGGTGGAAATAAATGTGAGCTGACATCAAATCACACAGCGAACTCTGCTAATGGGCAGAGGATGGGCTGACATGACAATGGAAATGAAGAGGACAGCAGGAAATCCAGCTCTCACAATCCTGACATGAGAAGAAAATGTGCAGTTACTTATGTGGTTTGCTGTTAATAAATATATATATATATATATATATATATATATATATATATATATATATATATATATATTGTTTTACTACAAATGCCACTTTGTATGTCAGCTAGCAAATGAAGTGTGAGAAGAATACCTTTTGCATTTCTAAAAAAAATCATTTTCATTATAGATTTTCTTAAAAATGTGGACTTGGAATTCATATTTATCCAATTTTGCATCCAGACAATCCTACATAAACTACAGTAGGCTTGAATATAAGACCGATCCATACGGAGAAATTAAAACTCTTAACAGCCATGTCTGTTTATGTATGCAGTCTGTCACCTTTTAAAAGAGAAAATGTCTATATAGCAATAAAAGCCTTTCGTACCAGAGGGGTGGGAGACTTCTCAACATCCAGAATGAGTTTTCCTATGTTGCCTCTGTCATGAATTCTCTGCATCGCCTCTTTTACCTGAGAAGAAAACATAAGTTTAACCTCTTCTTAAAAAGCCGCACAGATCTTATTCTCAACATGTAAAAAAAGCTGGTTTAACAATAAAAGATCTCTAACAGAGAGACTGCTGTAAAATTGGATTAAAAAAAAAAAAACACCAGCTGATAAAATTTCAAAATCACAAAAAGATTCAATAATTTTCTGCAGATTGTAGACACGGGATCCATTTTTAGCACAGCTATATTACAGACTTCCTGTGCGAGGAAAGTTAATGGCCTTAACGGTGACAAAATGATGCTGACTCACTCTGCTGGCTGATATTTGACATCACGCTGAACACCTCACTGATGCAAGATCTATAGCAAGAGATTGAATTGAAAATCTGGCAGGGAGGGACAGGCTCTAATAACAGATACATTAAGAATAACTGTTTCTGCAGTCTTATTCCAGAAATGGTTTATTCTACACTGCAAAAAATCTTAGTCACATTCTGCAAAATAAATAAAGTCTCAGACCACACCTCCTAATAACCTGGCTCACTGTTATCCCCACATTCAATAGCTACAGTAGATAGAATTAAAATAAAATAAAGAACAACCCTTCTAGGAACTGAACCAAGGACTCCAAACTCAATTAGGCAGCTACATCTATAGCACACATTATGCCGTCTTCAGAGATAAAATGTGATGCTGTGCACTACACTGCAGAGTAAACCATAGGTGACCTATCACGTCTGTGATATAATAAAGGACATCATGTATCAACATGATAGGGCTCTTAAACTATCTTTAAATGAAGATGAGGCTTCTGCCACTCGGCTGTCTGTGGAAAAATACCATGACACGTTCAAATTCAGCAAAACCCCTCAATTCAGTGCTCTTGCTAGGAGAGCAAAACTGAGTAAGACAGTGAGTCAGAATCTTTTAGGTTTGTGTGATCTTTACTGCCAGCTAAAGAAAATCAGAAATAAGGTGTGTATTGTCGGTAGACTGAGGCAAGCGGGCTGCTGCAGAGAAATCCCTGTGCACATCATCAGCGCCTGTAAACAAAATCCCAGAACACTAAGCACTGCGTTGTGGCGAACTCTACAGCTTGCATTCAAATGAAAATAATTCAATATCCAGTCGTGATGCAGCAGTTGAGGCAACAGTTTGCCATGCACTGACAAGGCTCCTGCAAATGTACACTGTTTTCGAAAAACCCACACTTCATATGCTGTCATAAAACATCACGCTCGTGTTCACCAACACGGCCTGGGAGCAATAAGAGGCACAACATGTGACAACGAGCGACGCTTTCCGGTTCCGTATTGCCATCCAGCAGGCAAAAGGAGACCAGAAACAACGTTTATGAACGACTGCTAGGCCATTCAGTCATCATTATTTATTTTGCTGTGACAGCAACTTACTTAACAGGTTAAAGAATCAACTCTGTTAGGCATGGTGCTACTGATAAAAGGGCAAAAATAAAGTCAGACCCACCACAAAAGATTACCATGCCATATCATGCACTCACGCAGACGCAGCTGAGTGTATGCCTTTGTCTGGAACCCGTTGTGTCACAGAAATCAAGCCAATAGGAAAAGTGGGTCATAAACCTGTACAGCACTTTGCTGTTAGGTAGCAACTTTCCAGAAGAGGTTGGGGGTTGGATAAATTCCGCTTACATTTTGAGCGAATTAGGTCTCTGTGCATAATGACCAATTTTCATGCAACGTGGGTTCGATTTTGTTTTTCAGGATTTTTAATAGCATTCAGCGTAGAAGCTGTACAATATTTTCCTGACTGAAACTAGCAGCGATTAGAAAAACTCCCATTATTCTGTCCCAGCCATGCATATTGTCCAACTTCTCATTCCGGAAAGAAAGGTTGCAATGGTCAGCATGTAAACTAACCTCTCCTTCCAGGCATATAAACAACCGAGGCAAGCTGTGCCCCTGACACTACATCCCACGCTATCCTCCCCTCTAATGAGATTCTTCATGGGCAATGGTTCCAGTGAATAGCCTGAACAATCTGCCAAAGTAATGACAACAGTGCATGGAAAGTTTCCCATGAGAAATTATTTCACAAAAATATCTCTCCGACTGTAGACAGAGTCTAGAATAACTTACAGTAAGCTTTTTGTGATTATTACTTACACTGCCTCTGCTTTCATCTAAATTCCTGAGGTATTTTTCAGTATGAAACAAAGTCCAAGGATAAACTTTCTGCTTCTTTTTCCAGTAACCAGAAAATCAGTGGACTGGGGTGGCCATGGCTCAGGAGATAGAGCAGATTGTCTACTAATTGGAAGGTTGGTGGTTCAATCACTGCCTGCTCCACTCTGAATATTATAGTATTCTTGGGTTGCTCCCATTATGTTAGAGTGAAAGTTAGATGTTGAAAAAAGGGCCCGTTTTTTAAAGTGCTTTGAGTAGAAATGCACTATACAAAAACCAGTCCATTTAGTCTCAAGTCCCCAGCTGCAGGTTCTTCATTGATTCTGGCGTTTGTTAGGTCTGAAATGGTGCAGAGGTAAGTCATTCAGAGCTGCAAGGCTTTGCCGAATTCATTAACCTACAAGAATATTAAAAGTGCAGCTTTTCCACCCCACAGGTGCAGAAAAATGAATAAATCAACCACCATCTGTACAGCCCACACATTCCTTGTTTGCAAATGGTTTAATTAAGCAAATAAGAGAAAACAGCTGTGGCGATGGGCCATGGTTGTCCCCATCTTTGTGAATCATTTAACTACAGACGAAAAACACAGAACTGTTCCTGCCTTACTCCGATCCCCGTTTTACTGTATCCACTGCAGGTACACGTGGACATCAGAGGAAGGATCACAAATATGAAAAAGGGGTTAAACTGAAGCTGTTCTCATGAAGGAGCCCAGCAGTGGTCAAATGCACACCGGCTAAACCCGCATCACAAGCCGGAGCTTTTATGGATAAATATGGGGATTAAGTGGATGAATAAGCATGATGGCCCTGCATACAGTTAAAGTAGTGAGTGTGTGTTACCTTGTATAAAACAAATCAGTGCATTTTCTGTTATTTCGGACCATTTTAATAAACAGAAATGATTATTATGCTTGGACAACTAAAACCCCCAATTAGCAAACTTGCTTTATAAAAAAAAGTATTTCATTACGATGCCGGTGATTGTCCTTTGGCTTGGATTTAAGCGTTTTTGGGGGGCACTAAAAATTCTTTTAGGCAGGAAAAACCCTGTAAGTAGCATAGGTACGCTCTCTTAAAGTGGTACTTTTCCATTAGGCTTATGTACCAATGGGGATGTGAGCCACAAATGCCCTTGTAAAAATATAGCAGAGCGAGCAAAGTAAAAAGAGGAAATCGAGCATAGATGTGGTAATATTCATCTGTCTGTAAAATTGCCTATGTGATGGAAAGAGTCTGGTTTTCAATGCTTCAATATGTTCTACACACAACCAATTGTGACAGTGTATTTATGAGTCTCTCTTTTTCCAGTCATGGGTCTTCATTTACTACTGATGTTCCCCTGAACTCAAATCCCTTTTAAATGTTGCACAATGCAGGAAAAGACTGATCCGGATCTCTTAATGTAAATATCAAATTATTAGAGGAAACATGCATCTACTGTACAAAGGTTCCTGAGAAACTGAATGATCACAGTTATAGGAAGACTTAAAGAATCTGTAGAAATCGAGTGTCAAGTGCTTGATGTATGGGCTGTTTGGCTTTTTGTGTTGGTGTGACATAATAGTTGAACAGGAAGATTCAACCTACCCACCATCTGTGGAAGAATGTCCAAGGACAGCTGACAACGTTCAGCAGCGACAAACAACACATTATATTCTGTCCAGGATGTTTAAACCAATTCTTCTTAAAATCTTTTCTGGCATCTCGGATTGCCCGACGTGATCGGGTCATTTTTAATTTGATCCTCATCGATCTCTGTGTCTTAAACCCTCTGATTACTTCAAGTTCTTACCTCCTCCAGCGCCCAGAGGGAGTCCACTACAGGCTTGATCTTCTTCTCTTCATACAAACACAGGAGTTTGTCCATCACTGATTTCACGAGGCCACATCTCCCTTGTTTGAAGAGCAGGTTGAGGAGCGAAAATCCAGCTATGACTTTGTTCTCTTCGTATAGCTTAATAGGGTTCACCTTCTCCACCTGCCACCACTGTAAAAACAAATAAACAAGCAAACGAGGGTGACGGATGTGTGCGTGCGTTTCATTTCCTGTGACTTATAATTGATTGGGCAGTTACAGGGTGTAGTTTCCTTTCAAATATTGATGATAGACTGCATCTCTGACTCACAGATTTTGCAAAGCTGAAGAAACTCTTTGTTTCCCCAGTTACCATGTTTGACGCGCCTGAAAAAACAAAAATAAAAGGATTTCTGTATACTGGACAGAAGTGACTAGTCAATAATTGGCAGCCATGAAGCATGAAGGGAGAGTGGGGGAGGATCAGCTGGCACCTTTAGCCCTTTAGATCTGTGCAAGTATGCCTTTGCACATTTTGAGTATGGCTGCAGATAATGAATTAATCTCTCTGTAATCATGTTACTTGATTCATGAGGCTTGACAGAAGCTAAAGTAATTAACGGAGACCAGATAAGACTGGTTGCTGTGAAGGACAATACATTCAATTTGCAGGCTCTGGAGTATATATTATTCAAATGACACTCACTATTTTGCGACTAGATCTGTGCCACTCTTATGGGTGTGTGTAAAAATTGAAGCTGCAGCAAGAAGACAGATAGATTGCCATGAGGAATGTAAAACAGCTACTCGGGCTCTGTGCAAAAGTAACAAAATCCAACTAAAAGTACCTCTAAAGCTTCTTTAATCCACACGCAAACTGGTATAAAAATCTCTGCGTGTTCGTGCCAGACTGCTTTTTTGGGCCAGGGAATTTGACTCGAGAGTGAGACTGTACTTCTCAATATTTGAAGTAAGATTTAAAATGTAGTTATTTTGACTTTGAAGCGATACATTTTTGCACAGTAAAGGAATACATATCATCCCCACCATACAGGATGTAAGTTCCCAGCGGCTTCAGCAAACTCAGGCCTTTGCCTGTGTTCTCCCCACACAGGCAGTCAAGCACAATGTCCACTCCCTCTGGAGAAATCCTGAAACACCAAGAACAAAGGGACAGTTAAAAAATATTCAATTGAGCTAATAAACATGCAACATGCAGAGATTTAAACACTTCATTAGAACCAGTAAATTATTTGAATGTTGTCTCATAAATGAACAGATTATTTTAAACACAGATTTGAGCTGAAACATTTAGCCTCGATGGTAAGATTAGCAGAAAAAAGATTTGGACACATTTTGGACAAATTTGAATCGATTTCAGACATAATACTTTTTTTTGCCTTTTTAATGTAGTATTCCACTTTTGTCTAAGAAAACAAGTGATTTAAGGAATGGAGGCAGTTATATGAAAGGTTTCTACTCTTACTGAGCCCGCAAGAAACTTAGACGCTACAAGCCACATTCACACAGCACTATATTTTATCTGTCACCCCCACATTCATTTTGGGGTTAAGCATCTTAACGTTTTGAAAGGCAGACCGGAGGAGCTGCGGATCACACTACCCACCTTTCAGCCGGTGGATAACCCACTCTACCTCCTGAGTCCCAGTCACCCAGATTTAGAAAGCTCACAAGGGTAAAAATATAACCAGTAGATTAATCTAAAATCCAAATAACAGGCAACATTCAATTACCATTAATCAGTTAAGCAACTAATTGTTTCAGCTTTACTGAAAATGTCATGAAGAATTCGAGCAGTTGAGTTAAAGTACAGTGAAAGGCAGAGATATGACTGCACTGGCTTGTTTGTGTCCACAAGCACTAAATGTAAACGTGCAAAACATACTCTGTAAGCATATATATAGATATATGTATATATAAATATATATATAATTTATTTATATGTGTGTGTGTTTTCAGCCTGTGATTCATGCTGGAGCAGCTTCAGGTTTTGTCTAATCATGGATTCATAAGATAAGGAGCTTGGTTCTCTGGAGTATTACTCTGAGAAAAAGTTGCAGCCCACGTTTTCTTATACAGGGATTATTGATGTGTTGCAGTGCCCACGTAGCTCCTCATCGGTAACATATTTTACACTGTGTTACAAAAAGTTTCTGATCTCATCGCACACAGAATTAGCCAGTGGAAAAAAAAGGGCCATAATGAGACTTTTTAGAGTACGGTATATGAAAGAATGAAAGGCATGTTATTATCAAGGGGACATTAAGTCCATACTTTCTGCCTTGTGGCCCCAAACACCCGGCTGGCTGAACAGCTTGGTGGTCTTGTGATTCTCGTGGTTTTTTGCCTTTTGTAAAAGGGCTAATTTAATTGTACTTTGCACTTGATCCTGAGAAGAATGTGTGGACCAGTGAGATGAAAGGCATATTAATCCACTACCACTGCTGACATGTATGCAGAAAGCACTCAACATCATTTCCTAATCAAGCCATTTGCATCTGTAGGTACTACAACGTGGCAAATATGGATTTTCATACATCATACTAATGCGCATCTACCCTGTTTCTAGTATAGCCACAGATAATTACTGCCAGAGCTCTGTGAAGCAGAGGAGGCCGTTTGGTGATGAAATAATCAAAAGCTTTGCAACATCATTAGAACTACATGAAACCTCCGCAGATTAATTGTAGTAGACCTGTGGCATACCGCATCCAATCCCATGAACGTTTGCAACCAGCGGTTTCTTTGTAGCGTAAACCGTCTCTGATGTCAGTGTAACGTGTAAGAAATCGCTCCTCTGGCCTAATTGGCTCAGCTGTTCCACATTGCCGCTACAGACCTCCACCCTACACAATGCTGCTGCTTGCTGAGATGAGCTGTGAGTTGCCATGGTGACCACAGCCACACATGACCAATAAAGCAAGCAGTAACATCTGCATCCTCCAGCAGGCCTCTTACCCTCTGTTAACTAAGCGTTGTCACGTTAGTTTAAAGGGGTAACCGGCAACATCTTCACCTGACTACATCTCCACATTCAGTCTTGACTCAATGAGTGAATGTTGCCAAAATTTGTCAAAAAGAAGTAAAACCACTTACACAACACACTTACTTTTTGACTTCTTGGATGTAGTCAACATTTCTGTCAAAGAGGTGAGCCACGGAGTCTCTAATGGCTGCGTGTTTGAAACACGAAGCGATCCCAAACACAGTGACATTAGGCACGGTGGAGCAGAGCTGAGCCACAGCTTGACCCTGAACATAATAACAGTTATAATAATGTATCAGTGCCCGAGAGCACAGAGGATAAGGAAAGCAGACATAAACATAAATCATACCACGGCATAAATAGCACTATTAACAGCGGGGATTAAACAACAATTCCATATGTGTGCATTTGTTTAGAGGGTGTGCACTAGTCATATGAGAACTGGACTTACTACACCACCTCCTACTGAGTGGACCAACACTGACATCCCTTCTCGCAGATTGGCAACCTCAAAGAGCATCATATAAGCAGCCACAAAGTTCAGGGAGAAGGCTGCTGCTTCAGCGAACGTCATTTCATCTGGCATCTTGTAGACAAAATCCACGGGTGCACAAACCACCTCCGCCCAGGCGTTGTAATTCACAAAAGCCATGACTCTGTCGCCTATCTGAAAGAAACATGTGAGGGAAGGAGGTCAACACACGGCAGACACTAACGTGAGCCCGTCATGTGGCAGTAAATGTCATCAGATTATGAATTAACAGCAGTATATTTCTGATTGTTACGCTTACAGCACTTATTGCAATCTGCATCCTCTCTAGTTTTATTGGTGTACTTCTCTGGCAGCATGTACTCATAGAACAACTGCATCAACAAGCTGTAATTACACTAACCTCAAATCCCTTTGTGTTTTCACCCACTGACTCTACTATTCCAGAGCACTCAAATCCAGGGACAAGAGGGGGTTTGGGGGGATTATCGATAGTCCCCTGACGTACCATCAGGTCCAGGAAATTCAAGCCACTGCAACAAAGAATAATTCTTGTTTGTTTACACTGGAATCCATCTGATTCGATATCTGGATGACGACCATGACCCTGAACAGTCTCTAACAGCTTTTTAATATCAAATATTTAGCATGAGGTGTTAAGAGATGTAGGGATTACCCAGCACTGTTTATTGCATTATTATGAGCAGTGAGTCACAGGCTTTTCCTCTGTGAATAAACAGTACACTTTAATTTTCCCAATGTCACACTGCTAACACTGGCAAAAGCTCAGCTGCAACCTGGGGAAAAATGACTTGCTCAATATCTTGTAAACAAGCGCTTAGAAAATAGAAAGTGTGACATAGAATGACTGGAAACTGTGGCATCAGATATGCTTGTTATGAACATCAGCCACCCAACCTCCTGTACCAGAAAAGACCTGTGGATTCATGACTGCGAATTTCTGTGTAAGCCTTGTTGATCAGCGTTTAGACTTCACAAACGCACCATGCAACGTGGGAGTAAAAGACCAGATCAGACCGCAGCTCACAAGTACAAATGAAAAACACTGACACCCTCATATTTACCATGTTTTCACGCGGATCTTCACTTCACCATCCTGAGGCTCGGGCATTGCCTTCTTGGTCACCCTGAGTTTGTTAAGACCCCCAAAACCTGACAATATCACCGCTCGCATTTCTTTGGCATTGCCAGACGTCTCCACGTTGTCTATTTCTTTCTTCACATTTTTGTCTATCATGTACTCGGTTTCCTCTGTCATGTCTGCTCCTTCTTTAGCCATGTCGAAGACCAGCTGCTCTGCCTCCCCGTTCCTAGTCGAGAGTGATTTGGGCGTGCAGCCGGTGCAGCCTGCACACAGGCAGGCGCTGTATGGACGGTTATCCACAGTGGAAGCTGAATCCTCATCATCTGCAAGCGACGTGCACTCACGCAGGTTTAAAGTTCCAGTATTTTAAGTCTGACAGATGGCGATTAATTCAACAAAAAAAACTTTGCTATTTCAAATCAGGAAATTATTTCATCCTGGTGAATTATCCTTCCTTGCGCCAGTACGACTTATAAAGTGCACCATCTGGTGGTGAAGCGCCCGCAAAACTTTTAAGTCTGATGAACTCCTTCAGATGCCCTCGGCAGCACAACCAAGTAGGATATAAATAAATAATCGTTAACCTCATAATAAAGATTCAAAGTTTTATAGTTTAATGGGATGTTTTCTTTTATTCTCCTTTAAAGGGTTAAACTATAAAAATGACCAGAGGAAACAAAACAAACAAACCTGGAAGAATTAGCGAAGAATTAACAACAATCAATCATGGTATGCATGATTGTGTGCGAGTGCAACATTCCTATTTAAAATAATGTATTCGTGACTTGTAGACTTGAAGTTTCTTCGAGGCTATAATTTTTTTTTTTTAAAATTTGGATACATTTAATACATATATAATACATATTCTTTTACATCCCTCGAAATCTCTGTTTAAATTAACTATTAAACAGGGCTAAACGATGTTTAAATGACAATATATAATAAATAAATAACTAAAAGACAGATTTTTTAAAAATTGATAAATCTGTCAAAATTGACTTGAGTAACTCAAAATGTCATATTATTAGTTTATTAATAATAATAATTTATTATTTATAGATACATAACCCCAAATTCTGAGATTAAAACCTCAAAAAAAAATTTTGAGGGCAAAAAAAATCTTTTTTCTCCTATTCGTAAGTCAAGATTGAGATAATAACCAAAAATTTGTAGATCATATTTTTTCCCCCAGTGATGGAAACAAGATTCTGCATTTAAAGCTCGTGAATTAATTTCTTAATTTGTATATCACACGGTTGCAACCTAAAAATAAGGCTTTTATTATGACTGTAAAAAAAACAAAACAAAACAAAAAAACCCAAAACAAAACAGTGAAAAGCATTTCACTATCAGAATCAGAATCAGAATCAGAATACTTTATTCATCCCGAGGGAAATTAGGGGTTACAGCAGGCAGCACGCTAATGGCGCATGCGCACTCACAAAGGAACCTTCTGACCAACTTTACACAAACATCACATTGGGCAGACATATCAGAAGGTAGGCTGATAGGAAAAAAAACAACGAAAATACACTACATGAGGTAAGAGGAGGAGAAAAAAAACTCCACTCAGACTGAGCTCCTAGTGGGAGAACAGTTTGATAAAAGAAAAAACACCTCAGCACAAAAGCACATGACTATCAATACACCATAGAAACACGAGACAAGCAACAGGGGCGGGTAAAGGGTAAGAGAGAGCCGGCGTAGACAGCGCATCCGGTCCTGCAGCATCTGTGCTGGTCCAGTTGACTGCTATCATCCCCGGTAGGGCACAAGCATCGAAGGCGTTGGAAAGGGAGGGGGATGAGTGAGTGCTTATCAGTGTAAGTGTGTGTGTGTGCGTGTCCATAGTTTAGCTGAGACAGTGTCCTTCGGCCTATCAGGCTAAGTAAACAGTCCTCCAGCCAATCCAGGTGTCCTTCATGGGGCGGGAAGAATAGTCATCACACAGTCGTTATCAGGGAGTTGTTTTGGTGGGCTCCAGCCTTGGGCCTGCAGCTGGGGCCGTGGTGTCCAAATACAGAGGACACTATGAAGTCTTTATGGCTGGCTGAAAAGGTTTATAGGCCTCTCTTAGATATGGATAAACATAGATTCAAGTAGCCTGGAGTGGTTCAATGTCAGGTGCTACAATTAATGAGAAACTAGCAAAATGCTAATTTATCATATTCTTTAACAAATTTTGTGTGTTTGCTACCTAACACAAAACCTAATATGTAAAAGTAAAAAGCCTTTTCGCAATAAAAATTAATAAATCAGGTGGTGTAATATTTCTAATGTTTTGAAATTGACTTCTAATTTTCTTTGTAGAATAAACTCCATGGTCATGGAGAAAATAACTTCATCAACTGTTGCCAAGGTTACGGTGTAACCCTGTAACCCTGGCAACATCTTAAAACAACCTGCTGACGCATTCAACTTCCTGCATCATAAATTGCTACACTCGCTCCTAATTTTATCGTAACTGTTTTCTTTTATAAACGGACCTCTTTGCAAAAGGTTTAATCTAAAATTTCTCAAACACAAAAAGAAGCCAATGATATGTGCCAAGCATAAATAAATAATAAAATGAAAAGTTATTATAAACGTTACTGCTTACTACACATCCTGAAGAAGCCAAGACGCCATAATAACACTTGTCTAACATTCACTTTTTGTACTTCTTTGAATATCTGAGCTCAAGAACATGCTAGCTGCTAACGTAGCTAACTGCGGCAGCCTGCTTAAATAACAGGAAACTCCAAAAAGGAGCGGAAAGATTTTCAAACAGATTTGTAGAACTACAGATCAGAGCGATGAACTTCCATCACTCAGCTATACACTGGTTCAGCTGAAATGATTTAAGCCTATTGTTTAAGGCTTCCACTTGCTTTCTGCCATCATTTTTCAACATTCAACAGCAGCAAAGATGTTATGAAAAACTTCATATTTTCACTTTTAATCCTCAGCGTGATTAATATTAGATTAATTTGACAGGCAGTAATAGTGAGCACATTTCCTTTTTTATATAAATGGATTTTTTTTTTAAATTTAAGCAACAAAAAGAAAACAGTCAACAAAAGTAGCTTCCTTTTATTGCAAGGTACATTAGAAAGGAATAGGTAGCATAAACACAGGAGCAAAGTACAATCCAATGCCAGTAACCAATTTTGAAATTAATCATCTTAAGCTAGACGGTAACACAGACTGTGGTCAGAGTTAATGACATTGCAAACTAATGCTCCATAAACAGATCCCTCCCCAGTTAAAAATAGAGTCTGTAGCTATTCTCCACCATTACGAGACTTCCCATTATTACACCAGCATCACCATCAGCCCTCAGGAGACCCCACAATGGGAAGAGCCTACATGACTTGACACTTTGCTAACAATTTAGCAGGCCATTTTGTGCGTATCACAGCTTTCATTGGTTCAATATATTATCTTAGAGTACATGATAACTCACTTAGCAATCATGCATGTTTCACACTGTCAGTGTTTAACTGCTACAGATAAGGTCCTGTGCGTTTCTGCCACTGGTACATTAACATCTATGTCACAGGATTAGTTTAGTACATAACAGCTTTTTTTCCTCCCAGTTGTGCATTCATACTAGAGAGGGTGAACAAAGGAAAGGTTTGTGGGCCAGAAATAGGACTTTTTCTAATGTTGTGGGACATCAGTGAATATTCGTAATCCATGCATGTTTTGAATCTCATCTTTGAGTGCCTGTGGAGGACAAGACATACGCAATACTTGTGATTAAAATATCAACTATTGCAAATATAAACTACAAGTTTTTGTTAATTGAAGCCAAGACGACAGACTTAAAAGAGGACATGAAACACTAGATCTATGGAGGTTAATTTACCTCATGGAGTGCTATACAAACCCAGACACTGCAGCTAACAGATGGATTTTCCCATTTCAGTGCCGCTAGCCAAGTAATGAGAGCCAAATACTGCTAGAGACAAGACGGTAAAAGTGGACAGTATATCCTTGGTTTCTTAACATAAAACTCATTGTTATACCCAGGGGCAGCACAAACCTGATCATGATTCTGTCACTGGTTAGCAAACATAAACTAATGTAAGACTATTAGCTGCAACCCAGTGACATCACGTTCCATACTAACAGAAGATGGTGCTAAACGTATTTAATCCAGCTTCACAGACAGAGTTACATCTATGTCAGTTTTTGAGAGCAGGGCTCCATGATGTAAATTATCCTTTATATGTGTAGCGTTTCATGTCATCTTTAAAAAAAACAAATAACAAGCACATACAAGGTTCAACACAGACTAAATAAAACATCAACAATTTTAGATTTAATACATCAGTTTAGACAAGGTTTCTAGGGGTTTACCTGATTGACTAACTGGTGTTGCTGAACAGTCCTTTTTCCTTTAAACTCACTGGATTCTATGTGGATCTCATACATGGCCCCACAGCCACCTAATAACAGAACAGAAACACAGAAACAGAGAATCTTATGACTTGCTTTGCTTGTTTGTTTGCTTCCTTGGCTTTCAGAGTTTTCCTCAGTTCAAATGCACGGCTTCAGGGAAGACCTACATGTCCTACCAGGCAAATTCAACATAGTTGGGATTTCTTTGCATTAGCCGATTCTGCAAACCTAAAACCATATGAAGTGGGTGGGTATCATGAAGGCAGTTAAAGACTTAACCTGGGCTTTTTACTCCAAGACATCTAAAAAGTGGTGTCTGCTGCATCATTTGAGTCTTTAAGCCTTTTCGAGTGGTTGATAAACAAAACAACAATAAAAAACAAGGTATCAGAAAAGGGCCACATTATTGCTACAAAGAAGTTGAGAATAATACCACAGAAAACCAATTATTTTTGTGAATTTTGACTTGATATATTGATTTTATAACTCCATGTGCTCTGTGTGTAGTTCAAAAGTGATACACACATCAAAGGATAATCAATGTAATCAAGTCTGACATCGTCTCGCAGAGGGTATTAATAAGTGGGTGACCAGATGAAGGTGAAGTTAATTTTACTGACTGATTGTTCTTGGTATTAAATGGGCTACAAATACTCTAATCTGTTGGATGTTATTTGCCATCCATCAATTTAAAACAGACTTAGCAGCAGAGTACGACCAGGCAAAAACAATAACCATATATATATTTTATGTATATATATATATATATATATATATATATATATATATATATATATATATATATATAATTTTTTTTTTTTTTTTTTTTTTTTTTTTTAAATAGCATATTTAAGATTGAAAACGTTAAGCTCACAAATCCTTTAATCCTGCATCGGAATGCATCCCTCTGAGGGTCTTTTGAGTTAGCTGACTCAAAAAGCTTCAAATCAGTGATAATGGGTATCACATGATATAAACCAGGGGAAAGTATTTATCCACAGTGTATGTGCAAATAACAGAAAAGTTTACACAAAATTAACAAATCAAATACCACCAACC